TATTCGGACTTAGACATACGCAAGCTCAAAAACACACCTCCACCGTAAGAGGGCCGCAGTGATATGCAGACCGGATATGATGCGTATACAGTTTAACGAAGTTCATTTAACTTTCTTCCAACTCGTATTTAGTTTTTTTTTTCTCTTCAAGTCTCAATTAAATAGCAAAGCCTAACTCAGGGGCACAACTAGGGGGGACACGGGAACATGTTCTTCCCCTCCTCCTCCAGTGGAAGCCGGTGCCCCCTCCCCCTCCCCCCACCCATTTTGAAATCCTTATTGGAAATGCACTGTTGTAATAATACCTTTCATTTCAATTTATTAAATGCACCACATGAAGAACAAAAACATCCCAGGTTCTCAGCCCCCCCCCCCCCGCGAAGTTAAACCTTAGTATTGCCGCTGGCTTGACGAAGATTTTATTCCACATAAAATCCCTAATAACATATCCTCACAATTTAATAGACTGAAGTGCAAACTGCTCATTGAATGAATCACGGCCGATGTACGTCACTTCGCTATCCACCAATTGAAGTTTGTCACCCAACAAGTCGGTGACCACAAGTGAGTAGTCTGAGATTGACAGGTTGTGTGTGTCCATCGCAAAACACGTGTTTTAGATGTGTCACCGACATCCATACGGTATCCACCAATACGATGCAGTTATTTCAGTGTCGGTGATACATGTTTTTATAGTGACTATATAGCCTGGACCACATTAACTTATAACATCCGTCTCATTAATATGAAGCGAGTCAGTGGTGTGTGATTGACAGTGCACAGGGACCAATCACAAACCGGGCCATTTTCCTCAGTCACTGCTCAGGAAATCGATGGTAATATTTAAGGCACGAACGCCCGCTTTTCCCCTCACAGGCAACCGTAGCTCCTCTTCAGCCTCTGAAGACAAGCCGAGAGAGAGACCTAACTGTGAGAACAACAAGAACGAGATTTGCTAGGTGAGTTTTACAAACAATTGTTTTACTTTTATAGTTCTCGCTGGGATTCATTTCTACAAATCAGTTGATGCAGTTGATGTTTTTACATATTGCTTATGCAGGCCTTATATCTGCTGTACTGACTCCCTAAAAATAATAAAGCGCAAGCTCTCGCATGAATTCAGTCATGTTTACATGTGATTAACATTTGGAATGTTTTTGGTTGAGTGGTTGTACAAATGTTCACAAATCCTTAAGATTTTAATGCACATTCAGTTGACTGACAGATGGTGGCTGACGCTAATAGTCAAACCAGTACCCTGGGTTCTCATACCAAAATATTCATTTTTTTTAACGACTGTAACTTGATTGTGTAGTCCACCTGTAATTATTACCGCCACTACTTCCTTGATGAGATCGATTCCCTTCACAATGAAGAAAATGTAAACTCATTGTGATTCATACAACTACAAATTCAAGCAATTTTAGAGGAAAATAGGATCAATTTTCTTCAGTACTATTTTGTTAGATGCAACCAAACTACATAGAATCTGAAGTAGGGTGAATAACAACTAACCTGCACGATGAGCAAAATGTATGCACAATGTATTGGTCTGAAATTCAGTCTTGGAAAAGGATTCCATTGCAAACACACGTATTAAAAACAATGTGCACGCGGGGACATTATTTTGAAAACCCATTCCATGTTAAGGTTTTTTTATACAATTTTCACAGGGTATTTGATGCCAGTCATATCTTCCTTTTGAGAATTGAGTTTCTGTCATAGACCTTTATCATGCTGCCACCGTTTAAGTCATGTTCCCTGTATCCAATAACAGTAGCGAATGATAATAATTGTGCGCAAGAAGGAACCAGACGATTTTTTTTCCAGCCTCGCTTTGCTTAAGTTGATTTAAAAGGGAAAAACTCAAGATGGCCGCAATATGATAATGGTTTTTTTAAACCGGTAGTTACTTTTCCGGGCATTTGCAAATACACTTGCACTGTTTAAACTTGTTTTTTTTTTTCTTATTTCTAAAGATAAAAAAAAAAAATAGAATCCTATTTGTGAGAAATTATTTTTTGTAAATTGTTTTTTTTAAACCGGTAGTTACTTTTCCGGGCTTTTGCAAATAATCTTGCACTGATTAAACTTTTTTCTTCTTTTTTTTTCTAAAGATAAAAAAAGAATAGAATCCTGTTTGTGAGAACTCATTTTTTGTAAAGTTTTGTGTGAATCCATTCAGGCCGTTGCACAGTTCACTGGAAATAATCATTCCAAATCACAGTTCGCCCCGACAGAGAGGGTTTTACTTGTGAAATTCAGCTATGCCTCCTGCTCCGGAGTTATCTCCGAGCGGATTTTTAGTAAATCATTGTTGTTGCTATTTTTTCAGCCAGCAATCAGCTCGAGTGTTGAGGATTCTTTTCGTAATAGGTTTGAAGAACATTTCTTGAAGGTTAGTGTCTGTTACTTGGCATTTACCGCAATAAAGCGTCACAATAGAGCTGTGATGAGGTGGGAGACTTCATCGTTTTGTTTATGTTCATCTGTAGGCCTTTTTAGTGGAATGATAATATAAAACGTCGATCGTAAATTCTTTAAAAGAAACTCGCTTGATATCTCGTTGCAATAATAGCGCAATACAGATTCACAGTCACGGTACTTTTTATTGACAAAACATGGCTATTAAGGTTTGACTGCATTTCTTTCAAAATTTCTGCTAATTTGCGAATAGTTTAAAATTTATTATGGTTCCTGGTGATTCAAATTTGCGCACTGTCATTATTTCCAATGTAATAAATTGTTTTGGGATAAACTCGCCCCTGTATATTCCGACCCGTCAAATCAAGCATCACTGTATATTCTACCCTTTTTTTCTGTTGATTCAAACCACACTCTACCTGTTTTCCTTAGGAATCTTCGGCAATTATTTTTTTCAGACAACTGATTTCATTATCCTCATTAGTTTATTCATATACTTGTTGCATTTAATTGGTGGGGACTTTTAAATGATTCAAGGCATTAGTCATCTTGCTTGCGTGTAATTTGTAACAGGGGTCAGTTTTCTTGTTGCTGTTTATTATTTTCATTATTTTATTGTACCTTGTTTTGTTCTTGTCTGCGTTTGTCTGCTTAATATGTGCGGGGTTACATACCTGTGGGTAATAGTAATGGACTTTACTTTTGTGACCCCTGACCCACATATCGTCTTTTTATATTTATTGTCTTCGGATTTTTCATATTATGCGTTGTTTTTCTGGCCCCTACACTTACACTTATACAGTGTCGTATTTTGTGTTTATTTTGTTTTATTTTGTACTTCTTAGCTTTCATACATTTTTGTTTAGTTTTTGTTTTTCATACTGTGTTTGTTCATTGTGTATTGTTTTGGTCGAATAAATAATAATAATAATAATAATAAAAACCTTCCTTTTCAAACACAAACATATGTTGTGATGTACATGTAAACATGTTTTCAGCAATCACTCTAAACAATTAAGGATGCAAAGTTGGTCATGGCAGAACGGATGCAGGAAATCTGGACCACTCACACATGGCTGTCTTGTTGGTGTTATGAATGAGTCGGATCGCAATATACCTTTTGCACTTTTGAACTTTGTCAGTTTGCTAGTTCACAGTTAGTCTTGGTTCCAAGACCTTTGTGGAATATTTTTTTTTCTCCGCGCAAAAAATTATATTGCACTATAGGCCCGCAATACAAATCTGTTATTGATTCTGCAATGTATTCGATTCTTATTCACTGTGTTTATTCAACGTATTTATTCAACGAGTATCGATTCTAGCGCGATCGATCCTGTACTTCCACTTCTGTAATGAATTGAAGTGCGACCTCTGTTGATTGAAAAGAATTGTTTTCCAAAAGTGTTCATTAGTAGTATAATTACACACGTACACAAACGCAGAGAGTAACGTCTTGGTACAAAGACTTGTTCACAGTGCGCAATTCCGGCTTTATTATTAGGCTACTTTTATAAGCAATGTATAATAAGAGAGTTGATGATTGGATGATGATGATGCACAACGTATTATTCAAGTTCAAATTGCTTTATCTATCTGGAATGTAGAAATCCTGAATAGATATGATGTTTGCAAATATTATATGGCACTTCTGCTCCGCTGTCTGCTTTTTCTATCTGGAATGCAGAAATCCTGAATAGATATGATGTTTGCAAATATTATATGGCCCTTTTGCTCCGCTGTCTGCTTTAAACGTTTCAAGCACAAGCTCTTGGGTGAATATTTGCATGTAGGGCTCAATATCGAGGATGAATTTATTTTTGTATGTAGGTTTTCACCCAGCATGCCCCCTAGATTCGAAACAACCATGGCTTGATATTTTGAAATTATGTTTTCTTTTACAATTGGAACAGATATTTACAAATTCAACAAATTTTATAAGACTCGATCTGTTATAAAACAGATGGCAGCTGCTGCTAATAGCAAAACTGATCAGCGCTGATTTCCGATTTCACTTTTGGATGAGACATTAAACAAAATAAACCACCTGCATTTAGGAAAATGAATTTCGTTCAGTGAGAACGTTGAATAGAAGCTTTTTAAACTAGATCAGTTTTGACTAAGCATACAAAGTGTTAACATCCATAATTATTCATTTCTTTTTCAAACGAGGGCAACTTTTCATAAGTCTTACTTAGGCCTAGATGTGATTCCCCAGTTTGTCTGCATGACTTCAATATTTTTTCTCTCATAGATCATTTTACCGGCATTTAATTTGTTCTCATGTTTACGTATTTCATTGTTATTTTTCTTTACAGATGAAGATCTGCGTGGCCACCATTCTGTCAATCGCCCTCCTTCTGGGTAACTCTGTCAAGCTCCGAGCTTCTGTTACTGGGCCGGTTCCCTCGGACGGTGGTGGTTCTGCATCTCAGGTGGGTCAGCAATGCTGCCAGGGACCTGCTGCAATACCCGGCATACCAGGTTTGCCTGGGCCAGTAGGACCGATGGGGCCGTACGGTCAGCCGGGGTCAAAGGGCGATGCAGGTCAGCAGGGTGAGATTGGCCCTATTGGACCTATGGGTGAGCGGGGAGCACCTGGGAACCCTGGGGACGACGGGATAGGGTTGCCCGGCAAGGTAGGTCCGAGGGGTGCCCCAGGGTCAGTTGGAGCAACCGGTCATACTGGCGTCAAAGGTCAAAAGGGTGAGCCAGGGGAGACACCAGACGACACCAACCAGCGGGTGGCATTCACCGTGACGAGGTCGAGTGTTTCAGATGTGTCTACGAACATTAACACCCGTTTGCCCTTCCAGCAGACCGCGACGCTACTGCCGGGTACCAGCTTCGATCTCGAGACTGGCACATTCACATGTAGTGTGTCGGGCACCTACGTGTTCATGTTTTCTATGAGCAAATATTCTTCCAGCAGCTCACTGCACGTCCAGCTCCGGAAGAACGACGACGTGGTTGTCTCTGGCTATGGCACTGGAGGTCACTGGCAGCCGATGTCTGGGAGCGCGGTGCTGGTTCTGCAGCAAGGAGACACGGTGTATCTTACCATGAGTGGTAGGGTGGGTGGGGCTGCCAATCACGACACCTCGTTTAGTGGCTTCATCCTTTACCCGGAATAAATAAAATATCACAACACATAAATATACAGGCCTATGAGCAACGTGTTGCTGAATACTTAAAAATCGAATTCCATTTTGCGGAAACAATAACCACAAAAGAAATACTTGTTGAATGTCTCAAAAATAAACCGCGATTATTTTGTTTTGCGTTACCCACACGCACATCTTGTATACAATAGATATATTAGTGATAGACATTAAAAATAATGCTTACACTTGTTGACAACGGTTTTGTATACACTGTGGAATAAAAACATTCTGATGAAAATATCTTGAATGTTTCATTTATACTATCTTAGTACAATTATGAACATGCCTAATAATAATAACGACTGTCAAACGGACATTGATACTGGCGGTTACAGATAATTTCAATCGATTTCCTCGTCCTTTTGTCCATGAAGATATTTCTTTGCAAATTTGCTTCCTAACTGTACACAACATTAACGTGAAACTTAGAACAAACCTCAAACCTGATTCCAGGCGTGTGATATTACTCTGACGTCATGATGTCGCCATTGGCTATCAAATTACAAGCGATTTTTGTTCAAAATACATGTATTACTATTTTTAATCATTTTATAACTCATGAACAAAATGAACACTCACGTTCACACTTTGTGATCATATTTGATAAACATTTTGATTACAAAATGCAAAGTCGCATGACCTCTAATTCCGGGGAAACAGGAAGGTCAAAGTCATCTGAATATTAAATGCACATAGAAGCCTACAAAACTGACTAATTTCTACGAGGATGAATCCTGGTACGAACATGAACCGTGGTCAACTGTAAAAGGAGTGGAAGTTTTGGTGACGTCATCATGATGTCATTCACTCACTCACTCGTCCACATAGACAGCATAGGTCCGTCTCGCCGATCTCCTGTGCCCACGTCCTACAGCCTCATTCCACAATCAGTCATAGACCGTCCGAAATGTTTCCAACCAAAATGATGTGGGACGGCCACGGTGTCTCTTCCAGCCGGGAATGGCCGTTAAAAGTGGACAAAATAGTTTTTAACTATATCGTTATTTTTTTGAACTGATATGCTGAATAGTGTACCTTGTTCAATTTTTTTCCTGTGAATGTAAGGTGATGCCTTGGGAAACATTTCTCATTCCCGAAAACATTCAATCGCTTGGTGCGATGTTCCCGTTGGTGTTACCGGAAGTGCATTGAGAATTGAATGTAATTTGAAAACGGAAGCGTTTTACTAAAATCAAATAATGGAAATGTTTAATGAGGGATGCTAAACACCAAAAAAACGCCACGATGACGTCATCCTCAGAAAGGACGCCCTCTAGAGGCACGTAAAAGACTTTTTTTATCACTGGTCAAAAGTTTATAAAAACATCCCCATATGTTTTTTGGCCACTGCCACTGACTTTGCGACGTTTCAAAATCCGACCGGAAGTTGTTGTAGAAAGAATTTGAAATTATCTAGTTTCAGCTTTTTTTTAATATCAATCCATTATTTGATCAGTATCCATGACTATGTTCGTAGCACGATAACGATTTGCGGTACTAATTTGGCTTCGGCTGCCAAATGCTGTGACGTCATTTAACCAGAAGTTATATGTTATTAATACATACTCTTCTTCTTTCATTGTCATGTTTTGTATTTTTAGAAGTTCTCTTCACGTTATGAATCCATAGGTATCTTCCCCGAACCAAATCAGTATTCAGCTTGCACTTTTTACTGATGACGTCATCAAACCGGAAGTAATGTGTGCGCATAAATACATGCAATTTCGTCACCGTTTTTACGAAGAGCCACACATGTCAAAAATGACAATTTTTCGATTTCGAGTTTTTTTTCACTACTTCGCTTTAAAACATCGTACCGTAAACCATTTTAAGATGCTTCTGTAAGCAAAATATTATTAAATTCTTAATTACATTAATGATGCAAAGGACATGCATCTCAATTAGTGCATTTTGTGTTATCACGTAGAGACACAGACGTAGGTGCCCCTTGAACGCGTACAAAACATATCATTTGGACGGAAAGGCGAAAAGCAGGTCAAGTGCGATTTTCGTTTTGACGAAGAGCCACACATTCTTTATAACATTATCAGTTGTGCGTGTAATACGCGCGCCTCTTGCCTGTGGAAAATTACGTTGTGCAGAAAGGGCCTAAATGTAGGAAACGTGGATATTCGTTTACGAAGGGACACGCATCTTTACTAATTGGTGTTGGCTAATTAACTATTTATATTGAATCTGTTTACGGGGTTTACATAAACGTTTACCGTTCAAGAAACATGTGCATGTTTTCATACAGCATATTGGTGTTAAATTCAAAGTAGTAGTTGTTGTGGAAGTTATAAAATTGAGGAACTTCTTTTACGATTATTTCAAAAACGCTTTTTCTTCAAAATCCACATGTGTGGCTCTTCGTGACATCGATGACGATTTGACAGGCCAAAATGTGCATTTTCTTATACCAATGGTTCTTTTGAAGAAAAGCTAAATTTTGTGACTCTTGTTCTGTTTCTATATAAATCTGTTCACAACTAAACTGGGCAATATCCAATGACATGCTTGTCTACCAGTTACTCTGCGTTTATAACTCAACACAAGTGTATATGTAGTTTTGATATAAATAACATCAAAATCACCCCTGGGATTTATCAAGACAACAGACGTTAAAGAACATCAAATAAATGTAATCGTTACAATGTAATTTTTGAACATTAATTTGTCAAAATACAACCACACTGATTACACTTAATAATGTCACGAAGCACAATGCGATAAATACGCATATAGCAATGCGGACGGTGCAGGAGCGGTGGGATTGCTTATTTTTTTGGTTATAAAGTTATAGGATCACGGCCTCTGGATCCACCCGTGCTAACAATGCCAGCATATTGTCATCAGAAGCTTGTCTTCAGACAAATAAACATTGATTTTCCAAAAATATTTCCAAAAACACTTGAAAAGGTGTGTTTCCGGGAAAAAAAACAAACATAGTTGACACGCACCCAAATCATTGATTAATCTTCAAAATGTTCTTTTTAAAACGAGGTTGCATTTGAATTGCAGCACAATGAACTCAGAAAAATTCTTATTCTAATAATTCTTAATTCTTATGTCCTAAAAGTAAAACCTCAAAGGAACAGGAACAAAATTTGACTTCAGCACAGTTTTGAGTTAAACAGGGTTGCATATTATTGTTATACTATGAAGGGAATGGATTCTTTGTTTGACTTAACAGTTGTATTGAGTAATCAGAGTTTGACTTATTGAGATTTCACTGTACACGTTATGTTTTGCCTCAAATGTTATGGGGAATTCGCACGTTTTAGTATATGATTTTTATATTAAAGTTAGGCCCAATTGCAGGCGCGGTTCTACGGGGGGGCTAGGGGGGGCTTTAGCCCCCCCCCCCCCCAAATTATGTCTAGCCCCCCCAAAATAAATTCCGTAAAAAAAAAATTGCATTAGCAAAAAGAAGGATTGTGACATGTGATGTACACGGTCTCCCCCTAAAGAAATAGTCGTGAAAAGGGTGCATTTGTAGTTAATATAGTGTGAATGGTTGTAGGATTTTATTGGCGCTCCCCATTGAAAATATGGCATGAGCCCCCCCCCCCCCCCCCCCAATTGATTTTCGGAGGCGTAAGTGTCTGGAGAAAATAACCGGTCTACATTTCAGCACGCCTCCCTGAAAAAAATTCTGGATCCACCCTGCTAGCCCCCCAAAATATTGGTTCTAGAACCGCGCCTGCCCCGGCCAATTGACTTTGAGAGTTTAATTCAAACACTCGGATATGATTTTATGCCATATTTGTTGGAAAAATGTGACACTATCACGTATTAAAATGTAACGCTTGTCAGTTACAATACAATCAGTGGTTGTTAGAAAAGTGTTTAAAACACGAAGTTATCTTGATATCATATGTATCGGATATAACTACTTGGAAAACGTATATAATAATGTAGGGGTCCGCGTCTTTTGAGAGGCTCCGTAGTTTTCGGGTGAGCCCGTGATTCCATCATTTCTATTTAAAGCGTGTAGCGACATGTCACCGCTATTCATCCACATGTAGTGTAAATAGTTCCTTTGAGGAAAAGTAATTATTTACAACAGTTTGGACGCATCAATCCCGAATTCACTTGTTTGTAAAATTATTTTAATGTGTGAGAATGTATCCTGTAATTGTTAGAGACATTTTTATTGAACTAATAGTATCAAGAGAGGGGTTGTGTGGCGCATTAATCTACGTGTGTTTTGCCATCTTGAAATGTGATGTGCGAAACCGTCCTTTTCGGATCAGCTGCCAATGTGTGAGTACATTGAAGACTAGTTTGTGTCCCAAAACCCAGCTTTTGATGATACTATTCTTAGATCTATCGCATGATTCGTGTCTCGTGGTCTCACATCATTATCACTGATATCATTGGGCAAATCTTGAGTTCATGTGTTGATTGGAAAAAGAGTAATTTAGGAATTATTTGTCCTCTCGATCTGTTGTAAACTTTCGTTGTAAACATGGTCGTACACGGTGACTGTTTCATGTCTGTAATTTATAGAGACTGTTGTATGTCTAATCCTAGCTTTGGTTTCTTGCTCCATAAAACATTTTGTGTGATGGGTTGGCGAGTCTGATGCCATAACACAGCCCAGCCTGGCGTTCGGGGAAATTTAGGAAATTCGGGGAAATTTAGGAAAATTAGGGAAATTTAGAGAAATTAATGAAATTAAGTGACAGTTAGGAACTTTACTGAAACTCAACTGAAATGAAATAAAGTCAAATGGAATTCTATTAAACAGGATTATATTGAGTTCAAGATAACAGTATTTTGTACTGGAAGTTACTTGACAATATTGTAGACCATAATAATCCTATATAGCCTAGCTCCTGTAACACTGGTTTACTTGCCAATGTGGGAACTGATTGTCATTCATTTAATTCTACCTTGTTTATAAAATCAGACATCAATTAAAATATTGATATTCCAATCAGAAAAGTGAAACTTTTTGATTCCGC